GGATGTGAATTTTTTCATCTGATGTGATATGAAATTAGCTGACATTTTATGTGGTTTGCAGGCCCATTCTTCTTCCAATTCATGCACATGGTGTACTGCTGAAAGCTCAAACCTTGCAAACTGTGGGACTTCAAGAACACTTGGCTCTTTAAAAGATTTATTCTGTACCTTCTCTGCAGCAGGTTCAAACACCAAAAATGCCAGGAAGTTTGGAAATATAATTTACAAGCCTATTTTTTCTCTTGGCGATTCTTCTTTGGTAATGGATCTTATTCCACCCATGAAGTTGCATCTTCTACTTGGTGTTGAGAATCATCTTTTCAAGATTCTCAAAGATGTATGGCCAAAAGCAGATGATTGGCTTCAAGCTTTACACATAAAGCAACAGCCCTTTCATGGGGGTCATTTTGCAGGCAATGACTGCAATCCCAGTGAAAAAAAAAACCGCGTCCCACATGGGTTCCATGTGAGTTCTGTGTGGGATTCATAGGATTTATATGGGACGGATTTTCCCATGTGGTATCCGCATGGAAATTTGCCACTTAAAACCCATATGGGTAAATCCCACATGGGTTACATGTGGTATTTACCCACATGGGATTTTCCCATGTGGTATCCGTATGGAAATTTGTCACTTCAAACCCATATGGGTAATCCCACATGGGTTACATGTGGGAACCATATGGTATTTACCCACATAGGAAATCCTACGTAGGTTTCTTGTGTGGTTTACATGGGATTTTGTTTGAAGGCTGGAAACTAAAATAATCTTAAATGTTACAAACAACATTACTTTCGCGTTGAAGTTACATGCATCTTGTTTTAGCATAAAAGTATCTTAAATTAATCTTAAAAAATGGCAAGCAAGTATGTAAGTACTACAAATAATTTGTACCTCTCTTTATCGAATTAAAAGTTTTTGTGCAAATAAAAGTATTATTAATATGATAATAGTTGTTTTAATATCAGTATATATATATCAATATATATACTGATATTAAAACAACTATATATTAATATGATAATAGTTGTTTTAATATCAGTATATATCAGTATATATATATATATATATATATATATATATATATATATATATATATATATATATATATATATATATATATATATATATATATATATATATATTTAGTATTAGTAATACTAAATATATACATATATATATATATATATATATATATATATATATATATATATATATATATATATATATATATATATATATTTAGTATTAGTATTAAATTGTATTTGTTATATTAGTTACAATTACAATTAAGGTTACACGGTACAGATATGAACCGTAAGTTCATCATTAGCTAGGAAGTTAGCTCGTATAGCTGCAATAATACAGCCACGGAAAATGATGCACTGTGGTAACTGTGAGTTTCTGGTCTAATTTTTTTTTGAAACTGTCAATAGTAGAGGCGTTGACAACATCATCCGTTAGAGCATTTCAAGTATTTGCAACCTGATTGTTGAAAAAGTCGAACGAGGCAGTTGATATTATTTTCGAGATGAAAGCGTTTGTGATGACCATAGATGATAGGAATGTATATTGGGTCAATATGCCAGTTGATTAATTCAGTTTTATTTTCAATTTTGAATTTTTGGATAAGGTCACCACATTTTCTGTATATATATATATATATATATATATATATATATATATATATATATATATATATATATATATATATATATATATATATATATATATATATATATATATATATATATATATATATATATATATATATATATATATATATATATATATATATATATATATATATATATATATATATATATATATATATGAAAATCATAAATTTAATAATTTTGTTTAGATGTGTTATATAATTTATACCACAATAAATTGTGATATGAAAAATAAGGTAGGATATGAGGACAACGATTAAAGAATAAATTTACTTATGGAAATTTAGATGTTTGTTGATTGGTTTCAAAATATAATATTTGTGATGAAAATGTAAAGATACTATTGCATCAAGTGTCTATTGCACTTAATCTGTACATTTTTGTAAAGTAGGTTCTTACATGTTTTTTTTTTATTTTTTTGTTTAATTAATTTTTCCTAATTGAGCACTTTTTTCTTAAATTAGATTCTCATGAGATACAAGCTCTTGTCAAATTATCCATGATACATTAGTCATTGTAAGTAATAAATGAAGAACTAATTATGTGTGAAAAAAATTGCAAGTTGAAGTCATTAATGACTTCAATTTGGCTCTTAATTAAAACTGCTCTTAATTAATAAGGCTTTTAATTACGATTGTTCTTAATTACGATTGTACTTTAATCTATAATAACCGTTTTAGGTTGATTAAGGTTATTATTGATATTTGTTTTTATTAAAATTTATTTATAGTTATATTTGTAGATATATATATATATATATATATATATATATATATATATATATATATATATATATATATATATATATATATATATATATATATATATATATATATATATATATATATATATATATTTAGGAAATGCTTAAAGAAAGTAATTTTTCTTAACATGGTAAAAACCTTAGTATTGAGCGAGCCAAAGCGATTTACTTTATTAATTAAATCGACAAAAGGCGTTTAAATCAAAAAATAACAAATAATATTTTTCACATTTATTTTTAATGTATTTATTAATAGCTATTATTTAAATATAAATTCATTTTGCAACACGTTTTTTAATTTTGTAGAATTTTGTTATAATACTTTATGGTAAATCCTATATTATTTGTGGAGAACATCGCATATATTTGATCCTAAATAGCATAAAGTAGCTAATACCAGATAAATTTAAGCCTCTCTGAAAGCTTCCATGATTAATTTTGATGTTTCATTTATATGGTATTCGCTACTTTTATAGCATTTGAATTAGAATGTGTGGCATTTAAGATCTATAAAACATGTGGTATTTTCAACCTATAACCCGTGTGGGATTTACCATATATAACCCAGATACGCTGACCGTCAGGTTAAGTCTGCTACTGTTAACGTAGTCTAGTACAACTTGCTGTATGTTAACGTCAGGAAGGGCGTACGGTTGTAAAAAATTGCTTTAACTCTTTCATAACGGCATTTATATGTCGCTATGGAGAGCAATTCAAACCACACAAATGTGGAAACATGAATGTAAAAACTACAACAAAAAAACAAAACATATTGGACAAAATAATAATCCCCACATGGGTTACATATGGAAAAAGCCCACGCGTATCCTATGTGGGAATCACCATATGGAACCCATGTGGGATTTACCATATGGAACCCGCATGGGACAAAATAATAATCCCCACATGGGTTACATATGGAAAAAGCCCACGCGTATCCTATGTGGGAATCACCATATGAAACCCATGTGGGATTTACCATATGGAACCCGCATGGGACAAAATAATAATCCCCACATGGGTTACATATGGAAAAAGCCCACGCGTATGCCATGTGGGAATTACCAAATGGAGCCCATGTGGGATTTATCATATGGAACCCACATGGGACAAAATAATAATCCCCAGATGGGTTACATATGGAAAAAACCCACGCGTATCCCAAGTGCACTTTTTCATTGGGATAAGCTGCTAAAAAACCTGGATCTTTTGCAAACTATTGCTGAAAAGGACAATGCTTTTCAAGTTTTTTCCATCATTAATACCTTGCGAAAATTTGCTGATGTGGTATAATCCTGTTTAGGCACCAAATTGCATGTGCTATTTGAAGAAATAAAAGATGCTTTCAAGAAATCCTTTGAAATCCTTGCCCATTGGAAAAGTCACACCAAAAGTTCGTGCAGTATTTTTTCATGTTAAAGACTTTGTCAAACAAAAAAAGATGCCACTTGGAATTTATAGCGAACAAACAACAGATGCAATGCACCACTGCTTTAATTTACATTGGGAAAGATACAAACGCCCAGTCATCCAGAATATGGAAAAAGGCTTCCTATGTGCCTTGTTGATTTCAACAGCAAGAATTTTTGCTGTGAGCTTCAGCCAACGCAAGTAATTACCTAAGAATAATCAGCATTAGAGAAAAAATGTTTCATGAAATTTGAAAATCTTTTAAGGAGAAAAGAATTCTGACGTTTCCACGTCAAGTCATGTAGAATTAAAGTGTTTTTATATATATTGCTTGTATTATTTCATTATGAATAATGTAAAAATGCAAAATTTTGGGCATGCTGTCATTTCACATATTTGTGCAATAAAGGAAATTTTTTTCAAAATTGATTTTCTTTCTTGGACGTAGGCAAATAATTTAAATTTTTACATTTTTTGACTTCCCATGGTCATAAGCTTTCACAGGTATATCGCGGTTTTCTCGGGAACTGACTTAAGGGTCAACTCAGATTATTGCTAACTGTGTATGATCAGACTCGAGGCTACCCCACACCTCCCAATTGGAGGGTGGGAGAGGGTGGAGGAGGAAAGTCCCCCCTCTCCCTCCGATTTCTTAAAAACAGTTTCCGCTAAATGCTTAGCGAAAATTTTTTTTCAAGAAATCGGGTCCCTAACACCAGGTTTTGGGAGGGGGAACCTTCGACTAGGCACTGACTATGATTATATATTTTGTGTTAAAAAACAGGTAATAAGGTGAATAATGAAAAAATATACATTGTATCGAGTAAAAACAATATGTAAAAGCATATATATTATAGTTGTCTATCGTTTTTGTTTATATTAATTTCTTTATAAAATGCATCTAAAATCAATTTAATAAGTTATTAAAATTTCGTAAAAAAGCAAGCAATGGTTAAAATCTATCTAGCAAGAATTTGTTTAGTTAACGTTGGAGTTATAACGCACAGTTTTTTATGAGGTTTTATGTTCATAATAAGAACTTTCATCATCGTTTTATGTTTATCTAAGCAAAATTTTCGTCAAAGCAAAGTCTTCCCAAGATAACTTGTCTTCAACGCAATCGCCAAAACCTAACAACTAGGTTTTCAACTATTAATCAGTTTACGTAGTTTTTGAGTAATCCCACATTCCTTTTTTTGTGTGAAAAACATGATTGAAGTTTTTTACTTTAAATCGTTCTACTTCATATCCAGCTTTTAAAACAGTATCAAGCAGTTCCCAATCTTCTCCACCCCAACTTATGCTAAACTTCTCAGTATTCATTCCGCCAAACCTATTCCAATCTGATTTATATGCACCAAATATTCCATAACCTGCTGATTCCCAGAAACCGTAACGCGCTTGCGGATTAGCACCACACTGTAATCGCAACACAATTGGACTACAAACCATTTTTCCTTGAACAGTATGCTGCAAAAGATTTTAATGTTGATTAGTTCTATAAAAAAAGGTAATAAACATGGTTTTCTATACTTAGGAGAACTGAGAGCATCCTGTTATATAGCTACCATCTTACAAACTTTGAAGTATAAAAATATAACTATTATTTTGTTGCATTTTTTTCATTTTTTGATGCATGAAAAACAAAAAAATCAAAAAACAAAAACAAAAAAGTACCTTTCGAACAAGATCAATGAAACCTGATGGAATAGTTAAGTGCAGGTCAACTTGCAATGTGATTGCATTAGGATTAATAATGGTGTTGGCAGCAACTTGAATAGCAAGAGTTTTATGAAACTTTCCAGTGTGTTTAATAAGAGTGTATCTAGGTATAGAGCTTTGCTCAAGAGCTTGGATCATATCAATATCCTGACTATTAAAATCAACTATAATTACATTTAAATTAATATCTTTTGTTTCTTCAAAAACTTCTGCCATTGTATTAATGAAGTGCTTTGCCCAACGACCTTGATTTCCAAGAGTTAATATAACATTGACATCAGCAGTTTTATTCCATTGAAAGTTTTCAGGGTAGCATAACTTAGTGATGTTGTTAAACAAATACACATATTGTGAAAATCTTACTTTTTTTGATAAATCATTATTTATTAACTCCAATTCAACAAGAAAACGACTTCCTTTCTCAACATCATTGTTTTCTTCAACATTTAAAATTGTCGACAATGAGTACTTGCTATAAACAAAAATAAAAATAAAGTAATTAATAAATATTTTTTATCCTGAATGTGTATTTTAATTTGATAACAATTACTAAAAGATAAACAGTTTAAACAACCTAATATACTTTAAACTGTACAAATCAAAAGGCATAAAAACAATTATTACAAACAAAACTTAATAGTTAATAATTTAATAGTTAATAATTTAAGTGAAAATAATAATTAGAGATAAATTTTCTCTATAAAATAAACACTTTAGTCATACTTATTATTGTTTGCAGACTACATTGCAGACATTATATAAGTTTTTAGTGTATGTATTCAGATATGTACTTAGTGTATGTAAAATGGCCAGCACAACACTATTTTGCACCATTTTATCACAGTAGCACAGTGATTCACAAGCTAGCAAATATAAATGGGTAGCTACAAGCAAAATAATATTCATACTTGCATATGCTAGATAATATCTAGAATAAGTCTTACTATCTGAGGTTTAAACAAACCTTACTATTTGAGATTTAATCTTATTACCACTATAGATCAACAAAAAGTCATAACTTTTTGATTGCTAAGTATAGACAGTCAATATTGAATCTGATCTTCTTTGACAGCTTAAGGCTTGCAGTAGCTGGTAAATTTTTAACCCAAACAAAACTCTAATAATGTATAGCTTATAACTATCACAACATTGTAGATATTCTATATTGATGAATGGCAACACTTTACATCTTCTCAGATTAACATTCACTAGTGACCACTCATGGAAACCATATAAACATTGAATTGCAAAGCTAAATGTTTATATGGTTAAGCTTGCTATGTTCTTTATCATGTTCAACATTTTATTATTCTTGATTCAGTTCTCAACCTCTATAAATCTTTTATATGTCCTTTTATGGAATACTGCTTTCTTATTTGGGAGTTTCTGCTAATGAGACCCTCTTCCATTTAAACAACACCCAAAAACTCATTGTAAATGTTGTTGGATCTGCTCTAGCTGCTTAGTTAGAGCATCTGTCCCATCGCCAAAAGGTTGCATTTTTTTTTTCTAAAAAATACTATATAGCGAAATTACAAGTTTCGCCATGACATAATGGAGCAGGCATTCCTAAGAATAATTTTTTTGGCTTTATTGCATCGCAAAAAAAGCATTCAATTTCTCCATAAGTACATAATAATTTTTTTTTCTTAAACCTAAAATTCATTACACTGTTTAATTGTCCAACATTTAGGGAAATGATTGCTGCCTATGTTGTTGCAACTTTTATCAAATGAGGCCGGGGCTGCTGAACTAAAAGATTGAGGCATAAATGTTAAATGTTATATGATGTTTGGAAAATTTGATTTTATATAGGGATAGATGCATAAACCAGTTTTCAGTACTTTACTGTTACTCCAGTACTTTATTATATTTAATTTTTTAACTAATATTTACTGATTAATTACTCAACAATTATTAAAACATTTATTGAAAAATAATTAGATTTTAATAAAATAGTAATAATAAGTACAAAGAACAGTTCATACAATTTTTTCCAGATATTAAATTAAAAATAAGTTATCAAAAAAATATAACTTTTTTGAATTACTACTTCAATTATTCCATTTATTGGTTTTAATGGCAACTTTGATTGTAAATTTTATATTAAAACATGAATTTTAGGAGAAAAAAACACCTACTTTTTATGCTTTTTCTTTATTGCAGCCATTACCTGATTAACTATATTATGTGCAGTACTCTCTAAAACAATGTCATTTCCAAATATGATTTGGTTTTCATTTGTGTCAAGTCTATAAAATACCTCAGTATTGTCTTTGGGAAACACCTTTGTGTAATGAAGTTCCCAAATGCCCAAGTACTGTGAAATTTCTTCATGAACTATATATGATGGAGAGTATTTACAATCAGGAAATAAATCTAATGTATCTTCTTCTGGTATTAGAGGAATAGTAAAAATTGTACTTCTTATAAAATCTTCTGGTGTAGAATAAAGTTCAGAAAGTTTTTTTTTATGAAATAATGATGGTAGGCCTTCCGGCACTTTATAATCAAGTATAACAGATGTTTTTTTAGAACCTGTTTCATTAAAAAAGCAACTTAAATGTTCACTAGATATTTCACTAAATGTTGACATAAGACTTGATTGTTTCCATTTTAATGAAAACTTTCCGACTTTAATACCAGTCTTACCAAGTATGTCAAAAAAATATTTCCCTTTGTTTAAATAAATTTCATCTGACAAAGTATTAACCTGTTTTGTTAAGTGATTTTGATAGCAAATCAAAAACGAATTGTTTGGAGAATCAAGACTTAAATAAACTTCGATACTTATATCAACAGTACTAAGAAAGAACTGGGTTAAACCATTGTTTTTTACTTCAAGATAACCAAAAATTCTAATTCCAAATAATGGTGAAATGTTATTAAAGTCTAACTTATTTACAGTATCTCTTATTACAGGCAAGTGTGGATAAAGTGGATACAACTTTAAATTTTTTACATCAATACCACATATTTCGTGCCATATATGAAGGTTCGCTAAATTTTCACAAGCGTCTAATTTATTTTTAATGAAATTCTTCATTGGGTAAAACAATGAATTAACTTTTTCTTGTGAAACATATTTAAAAAGTTCACTACGAGAAGAATAAGGCTTCGGATTGACTATTACATTCACAGGCAAATTATTTCCTCGCTGGGCAACTATTACTCCAATTTCCTCCACGACTTTTTTTTCTTCCTTATCTTTAAATTGCTGATAACAAAACAATGTCAATTCAACTAAAACAAAAATTCCAATAAATAATAGCAATAACTTAAGTTTACGATTACCCATTTGCTCAACTTAAAATCTTAGTTTCTTTTTTTTATCTGTATCGGGTCGCCATTGTACCCTTTTCCCGTAGGAGAGCGCGGCTAAACTAATTATTCTCCTTCGGAATATATCGGACAAAACAACTTTATTTTAAAAATTGATCATAGTCATAGGAATAAATAGTTTGGAAATAAAGGCCGTTTCCATTGCTTTGCCGTTTTATGTTAAAACTCGTATCAACCCGCTGAAGGTGCACAGAAAGATAAACAAAACTTTATTTAACATTACTCTCTTTAAGAGTTTGAACTAATGACTGGTTTTGAGATTTAATTTATAAAGTTTTTGAAAATTTTTTGTATTAATTATTTTTCTTATCTGTTAAGAAAAGATTACTTAGTTTTAAAAATCTATTTTACATAGCTAAAAAAGTTATAAATAAGATATATATATATATATATATATATATATATATATATATATATTATATATATATATATATATATATATATATATATATATATATATATATGTATATGTATATATATATATATATATGAATATATATATATGAATATATATATATATATATATATATATATATATATATATATATATATATATATATATATATATATATATATATATATATATATATATATATAATATAATATAATAAGTTATTTAATTATCTTCACTTTTTTTTTAGATGTTTGTAAAATGGTTTATTGTGTTGTGTCAATAGATCAAAAATCAATACTAATGTTCATTGATTTTTTGTTTTTTGACACAAAAACTTGCAATTTGGTAGAAAAATTTTGCTCTTTGACATTCTGGGAAAAAAAATATTTTTTCAATGATTGGATTTTACTATTCATGACTAATAAGAAATAATTTTTATTAACAGTGAGTAAATTTTCCAAGTTACTTTTAATTTTTATGTTGCGTATAAAGTTTATGACCATACTGCGATATTGATCATATAAGCATATGTATTTAAGTTTGATGTTTTTAAACATTTAACTATTATGAATATTAAGTGTTAGCTTTATTTCACTAGCTTCAAAATTCTGAAATTACTTTACTGTTTATGATATCAGAATCATTTTAGACTGGATATACTTTGAGTGAGATTTTATTAAATTGCCAATTAAAAATGTTAAATTAAAGTATATTTTAAAATGGTTTTTTCAAATCTTTGTAAAAAAAATTTTTGTTTGTTTAAAAAATTCAGAAAATGACAAATTATTTAGCATTTATAAATTAATATTACAAATATTTTGCCTAATATTTTTGTAGTTTAACATTGTATCTAGGAAATTTATTTCTTTAATTGCTTTTCTATATAGTCAAGTCTAACAAAATGAAAAACCTAATTGATATATTTTATTGGAAATTCTTGTGTAAACACATAAATATTTCTCTAATTCTAGATTATCAAGGGTCAAAAATTATTTAATCTTTTTTTAAATTCATTGACACAACTAGATAGATATATATTGATGATTTAAATTTATTGACACAACTAGATAGATATATATTGATGGCATTATGCACAGAAGTGTTAAGTACAACATTTGTTCAAATTGAGCTAGGTACACAAAAACTGTTGTATTATTCAAAGATTATTCTGTCTGAATATGGTCAGCGTATGATAAATTGTTATGAGTCTACTAATTGACATTACGTGTCAAACACAAAAACGAAAAAAAAAATTGTATGCACAAATGCTCAAAGTGTCCTTGTCACATTTGCATTTTTAGTTTAGCACTTAACACTTATGTGCATAATGCCATCAATATATATATATATATATATATATATATATATATATATATATATATATATATATATATATATATATATATATATATATATATATATAGATATATAGATATATATATATATAGATATATAATTAGATATATATATATATATATATATATATATATATATATATATACATGTATATATGCATATATATATGCATATATATATGCATATATATACATATATACATATATATATATATATATATATATATATATATATATATATATATATATATATATATGTATATATATATATATATATATATATATATATAATATATATATATATATATATATATATATATATATATATATATATATATATATATATATATATATATATATATATATATATATATATATATATATATATATATATATATATATATAGATATATATATAGATATATATATATATATAGATATAAAGTTCTCCAAAAAATTATATATAGATATAAAGTTCTCCAAAATTGCATATAAATTTCTCCTGTAGTCTGGTAAAATTGCATATAAATTATGCTTCTTCTGTAGTTAACACTAACTTTTTTTCCATTATTTTAAATTAACAACAGATAAAATCCCCATCACCAAGTAACGTTATTAAGAATTTTGAGATTTTTACGAGTGAAAATTCCCTTGTACAAATATATTTTGATAACTTTTAAATGCTCTGAATAGTACTAAAATAAAATGAATTTCCTGTATTTATAACAAAAAAAAAAAGTATTGATAAACTTAGTTTATCATTACTTAAAATTTTATTTCGAAAATCTGCTTGTTTTGATTTTAATTTTTCAACTTATGCAACCTTGCCTTTCTTTCAAAATTAGCAAATCAGATTGCTCTTAATTCTGCCTATTAAGCCTGTACAGGCTTAGAATAGACAGATATTTTGAAACCCTATATAGCTGTGTAGAGTTTTAAAATATGGGTTCCGATATGTCCCATAAAAGTCTGTTTCCTGAAATTAATGCTACTCTAAAAGTTCAATACCAGATATGTTTTTAAAGCGAGGTTCTAAAAGAGAATAAAAGGTAGAATTCTAATGGGAGACTACAATATGGATCTTATAAGATATAATGAATCAAATCCTATTCATAATTACCTTGACTCACTAACCTACTTTACTCTACACCCTGCTATAATTTTACCAATACGCATAACAGATAAATTACAAACTTTTTACAGATTCAGCCAATTATCATGTAAGACATCATCACGTTGTAAGTATTGGTCAGTTTTGATGAAATCATACGTTACTTAAAAAAATAAAGATATTTGCTATAAAAAAAAAGTATTACTCAAACATATGTACTGTTTGTCTCAAAAGAAAGTTAGTGAATTTACTTACTCTCCTGATATAATTACTCGAGTATATGAGTATTTTGCTATACCTAGGTCTCTGTACAGCCACATTTCTAATGACTATAAATTACCAAGTAATAGAACTTTGACAAAAATCGATTCAAAAGTCGGATCACAAGTCAGTCCCTACATCTACCCAAATAGCGCCACACAACCCAACTAACAGCCAAACCTAGTTCAACGACTAGCGTCGCTATTATAAACGCTGTCACTAAAAATACCAAACTTCAACAAATCAAAGAGAAACGAGTTGTTATCGCTGGTCTTCCGAATCCAACTCAAGAAACCCAAAAAGCAAAAAAAGAGTTAGAAAAAGTAAAACAAGTATTGGGATCATCGAAATTCCAAAATGCCTTCAAAGTTGTAGGTCGTATCCAACCTATAAAATTGTTCACAAACTAACCTTCTATTCCGCCACCAATTATCACACAATTAGAATCGACAGAAGCTTGTAACAACCTACTGTCCATAGCCAAAAGTCTCGCTTCGTTTAAAAACTTCAAAAATATCTATATTCGCCCTGACCGCACTCCAGCTGAACAAGAAAGTTTTAGCAAACTTAACAAAGAACGAAAAAAGCTCAATGAAGGCCTAAAATTGACAACTGTCTCGACCAGCCCTTTTGATTTGTTATCCACGGCGACCAAGTTCGTTGTATTTACATAACCGCTGAAAAATTCCTCATCAACATCACAGAGAAACGTCCGTTCGGCAACTGGAAGGCTGCCGTTGAGGTCTCCAACCCTAAATTGGCCGTCTAATACTACAATCTAACATTCACATCTAAATTCACCAATAACCATGAATCCTTCATCTTCTCCTAAACTTCTTAAATGCCTCTCACGAACCCAACCTCGCTCTTGAACAAATATGATGAACTCAACTTTCTACTTGGTACAGAAAGATTATCCCGACGTACTCTGCTTCTGTGAGACTTGGTTTGACATAGAAAAGCCAGTTTTGATTGATAACTTCTCAACGCCTTTCTGCCTCTCACGTACTTCTTCGCGAGGAGGAGTTGCTGTCTACACAAAAAAAACTCTCATCGTGTTCGAATTCAACAAAGACAAAATTCTCTCTAGAGCTGGAAGTGAACAGGTATGGGTTCAAATAAATATTGGTTCTGAACGTATTCTATTAGGTTGCATCTACAGGCCGCCGAACTCCGAAGCCACCATTAATAAAATCATCAACAAGTCGATTCGCCAAGCTTTCATTCTAATCGAGTAAAAAAGATTCACTAAACTTTTTATTATTGGAGGACTTCAACTACCCTGAAATTGAATGGAACAGCTCCAGTGGGTACTCTACCAGTAATAATCTAAAGGCATGCGCGTTCCTTGGAACTATCCAAGATCGCCTGCTCACTCAGTTCGTCTTAGAACCAACATTCGGCAAAAATCAACTTGACCTTCTGTTAGCAAATGATCCAACATACATCTACAATGTAAAAGTTGATTCTCCTCTTGGATCAACCAAAAATAAACGCATGCACGCTATGATTTACTGGGATTTTATAATACTGGACTATCATTCAACAAGCTTCAACAAAAGCTGCAAACATTTATATTACAAACTTACTAACTTTGAAAGCATGATCAGCTACTTCAACATGACTTATTGGGTTCTGGAATTTGCTAACTTGACAGTTGACTAGCGCTATGCCCGTCTATCAGAAGCATATATCGCCGCTGATATATACTTCTGGTATCACTTTTCACTCCGACTCGCCGCAACATTATCCTACTCAAACCCGACCCGAAATGGTTAAACAATGAAGTTAGCAAGCGTCGAATGAAAAATCGGCTACTTTCGCCCGACTTCAAGCAGCGCTACGTGACCAAAAGCACCTTGTAAAACCGGCGTTTAACAAAGCCTCGCGCAATGTCAAAAAATAAGTTTATAAAGCTCTCTGCACACACGAGCGACGCATT